TTGACATTATAAGGAATCATGAGGAGTTGGGATCCTCGTGAAGGCAGGGATGGGGATAACTTTGTCCCCATTAGCAGGAATGGGGACAAGGATGTGGAGGGGGATTTTCGTGGGGACAGGGATGGGGAGGGGATTTTCGTGGGGACAGGGATGGGGAGAGGCTCCTCGTCCCCACCCCGCTTGTTGCCATTCCTAATCAAACTAATGAAATTAACAACCCAATTTCTAGTATTTCCAGTCAGCTTTGGTTCAACAATTTCCCAACCCGATTGGGTTGGATCAATTTCACTTTGGCCATTTGTAAACTGACTAAAATCAAATGACCTGACCATATATATAGATATATACATATATTTTAAATTTTTAATAATAGAAAGTGAGAAAATTCTAATATTCCTTACACTAAAATAGTTTATATCATAAATTTAATTTTTTAATTTATTTTTTTAATAACGCCATTGTACTTTTTTTAATTTAAACTTAATTTTTAAATTTATTTTTTTAAGTTTAAATCTTTTGAATCGACCTACCAAACCGAAAATTAACCCAAACGAATATAACCTAAGTGACCAACCCCCCAACCTGACCAGGTTGATTTGGTTAGCCAAACAACTTACAACTAAAATCGAACTAACCCATGAATAATAGTTTAATCTCCAATAATTATTAAAATTTTATAGTGAAAATACACAATAAATTAAATTATGAAGATAAATAATAGTAGTTTAAACTCCAATAATTATTGAAAATTTTCTATTAAATAACAAAACAAAAATAGATTTATACACAATTATTGAAACTATATTTATCACAAAAAACAATAAATAATTACTGAAATACAATAAATATTAATTTATTGTATAGATAAATATATAATAAATAAAGATTAAGTTTTTAAAACTATTATTAATAAACAATAATTTTTTGAAAGTTTTTTTCTAGAATTATTAATTGGTATAAATGAAATTATTTATTTACAATATTATTTATATATTGAAATAATATCATTATTTAAATTTTAAAATATTAATCATTTGTTGAATTTAATAATCCATAAAATTATAGTACTATTAATACATAATTTTGTTATTTTAACTATTTAAAACCTAGTTATGTTAAATTATTCGTTATTTAAAATATTTAGATACTTAACTAAATATTTAAAATCTTAATCTATTTATTATAATTGAAAGTTATTTAGTAACTATTTAAAATATACTATTAATTGATTTAAAATATTAGTTTTAATATTTTGTTATTTAAGATATTTAGTTATTGAAATATTTAAATAATATTTCATTCTTAATGTTAGATTTTTATTATTTGAATCAAGGTTCAAAATATCGATACGCCGGTAGAGGCGTATCAGGCAGTATCAATAGCTTTTTTTATTTTTTTAATCTTTTTTTCAAATATGGTTTAGAGGGGTCGGTTTAAGGTTCGTCCAGCCGCTGAACCGGTCAAAACAACGATACACCCTTTGTAGGGGCATATTGGGAAGCTCCCAATACGTGTCGCTACTTTGAACCTTGATTTGAATAACATTTAGATTGGATAATCCAGAAAATCATAATTTATATTGTTTGTACATAATTTCGTGGTGAATTTTGTAAAAATATATAATTGTTAATAATATGAATATTATTAAATTGATTATAATTTTTTTTGTCTTTTTAATAAATATTTTAATGTTATTATATAAATTTGTTAGAATATTTAAATAATTCTTAAATTTTTTAATTCAAACTTTCTTTAGATAGATGTAGGTAACAAGTGGGGGAGAAGATAAACAAGAATTAGAGATAATTTAGGAGAGAAACTCTTTACTAAATTAGAGATAACTTAGGAGAATGTAGGGGAGGTTGTTTAAGAGAAATTTTAGGATATTAGTTATTTAGGTTATTGAAACTGGTGGAAGAGAGAGAGAGAGAGAGAGAGAAAGAGAGAGAGATTTTAGGAAGTTTCTTTTAGGGAAAGTAGAGTTTCTAATTTGTAGTTTTGAAAATGACTTGGATTAAAAAAAAATCAAAAATTCAGAAAAGGAGAAATTTTCTAGACCTAATATGGGAAAGTGGGAAATTTTCAATATTTCTTAGTCTAAAATAGTTTATATCATAAATTTAATTTTTAAATTTATTTTTTAATAATGTCATTGTATTTTTTCAATTTAAACTTAATTTTTAAATTTAAATATTTTGAACCAACTGACCAAACCGAAAATTGAATCAAACCAATATAACTTGAGTGACCAACCCCCCCAACCTGATCAAGTCGATTTGATTAGTCAAACAATTTACAACTAAAACCGAATCAATCCGTGAACAATAGTTTAATCTCCAACAATTATTAAAATTTATAGTGAAAATACACAATAAGTTAAATTTAAAAAGTTAAATAACAGTAGTTTAAAATCCAATAATTATTGAAAATTTTCTATTAAATAAAAAACAAAAAAAAAAGATTTATACATAATTATTGAAAATATATTTATTACAAAAAACACTAAATAATTACTGAAATACAATAAATATTAATTTTAGTATAGATAAATATATAATAAATAAATATTAAGTTCTTAAAATTATTAATAAACAATAATTTTTTGAAAGTTATTTTCTAGGTGTGTTAATTGGTATATATGAAATTATTTATTTACAATATTAATTATTTACTGAAATAATATTATTATTTAAATTTTAAAATATTAATTACTTGTTGAATTTAATAATCCATAAAATTATAGTACCATTAATACAATGTTTTGTTATTTAAAATATTTATTTATTTAACTAAATATTTAAAATCTTAATCTATTTATTATAATTGAAAGTTTTTCAATAACTATTTAAAATATATTATTAATTGATTTAAAATATTAATTTTAATATTTTGTTATTTAAGATATTTAGTTATTGAAATATTTAAATAATATTTCATTTTTAGTGTTAGATTTTAAAATATTTAAATAATATTTAAAATATGCCCAACGTATTAGACAATATCGATAGCTTTTTTATTTTTTTTAGTTTTTTTTTCAAATCAGGTTCAAAGGGGCTGGTTTTAGGTCCGTCCACCCCCTAAACTGGTTGAAACCCTGATACACCCTCTGTAGGGGCATATCGGGAAGCTCCTAATACGATACGTATCAGTCGGTACGGCTCGATACGTGTTGATACTTTGAACCTTGATTTGAATAACATTTAGATTGGATAATCCAGAAAATCATAATTTATATTGTTTGTACATAATTTCGTGGTGAGTTTTGTAAAAATATATAATTATTAATAATATGAATATTATTAAATTGATTATAATTTTTTTTGTCTTTTTAATAAATATTTTAAAGTTATTATATAAATTTGTTAGAATATTTAAATAATTCTTAATTTTTTTAATTCAAACTTTCTTTAGATAGATGTAGATAAAAAGTGGGGGAGAAGATAAATCAAAATTAGAGATAATTTAGGAGAGAAACTCTCTACTAAATTAGAGGTAACTTAGGAGAAAGTTGGGGATAGTGGGGGTTCTTTAGGAGAAATTTTAGGATATTAGATTATTTAGGTTATTGGAACGAGAGAGAGAGAGAGATTTTACAAAGGTTTTTTTGGGAAAGTAGAATTTCTAATTGGTAGTTTCAAAAATAACATGGATTAAAAAATTTTTAAAATTTTAAAAAAGAAGAAATTTTCTAGACTTCCTTGTTTTAATATATATACGCTTTAATTTTACACTTTAAAAATCTTAGGTTTATAATTGTATATTTTTAACATGTAAATTGGCTTACAAAGTTACAAGTAGGGATAATTATTGGTTCGAATTGGATTTAAATGAAATATCATTAAGATGGAATGGATCAATTTCGAATTGCAATTTGTAAGATCCGGAAGGTTCATATCAAATTCAGATCTCTCTAAAGTTTTATCAAATCGGATAATATCGATCCCTTACCGAATTTGATTCAATCCGCTTGCCTCAGTTCAAGAGGTTTCAATAAGAATGAGATTGCATGGTTGTTATTATATGTAACTAATAGGTCATCCACATCAACCAAGGAGAGGCCATAGCAATTATATAAGAACAGAGAGGCGTCAATAAATTTGGATGCACAAAAACCTATACTTATACGGGTAATATTGACCACGCAATCAGTGGATAACATTAACATGTCGCACACCCTAGAAGGCGTTCTCATCATCTCACAAGACCTTGGGGGGCATCATCATCCTTTCTTACCTTCATCAATGTGAGTTGGGATCTTCTGCCTACACAAACTCTGTTCACGTATACCCACACAACATTGCAGCAGCTACACATGGAGAACATTTCATCCACTTACATAGTGTTATACAGGGGGAGATGTTCCCAATTCATGTGAGGGGGAGGGGNGAGGGGGGTGGATAGTGTATTGTGGGTAGACTTGGGCAGAGTTTTTGTGAGCAAGAGATCCCGAGTCCATCAATGTTGAGCCAGCCTCTATGGCGCCCAACATGCGAAGCTGTTACACAATGCACACCGTGCTTACACATATAAGGTCCCATCTTATACAATTTTGACTGTTCACAGGGGGGGACACTCTTGCCTCCTTGAGCCCTCGGCTAACTTGGCCGTCAAAATCTTCCAAGGACTCTTAACATCTTTTTGACTGTTAACAGGGGGGATCCTCGCCCTCATCACCTCGGAAGTGACGAAGCTGCCTTTGCCCTCCTCATCTTCGACAACATCTTATACCACTAAGAATTTATTCAAATCCATCTTGGTCTCCGAATTTCAAAAGACAAACATAATGCTGTTTCGTCGTCCATTTGGGTCAAGGGGATGTCATTAAGGAATTAATAATTAGGGTAGAGAAAATTGTTTCATAAAGATTTCTATTTCTTTCCAGCATATAAATGTATATTTAAAGATTTCAGCAATTTTTGATACACAACCATCAACTGTGTATAAATGTTTACAATGTAACTGGAGAAAACCCATCAGTTCCCCATTTGCAATTCTCTATGTATGATAATGTGGCTAAAAGAATACCATTTTTTATTACAAGCTTCTGGTCAATCGAACACTGACAATTAAGTGTTATGTACAATAATCTAATTCCTCTGAATCAGTCACTGTTAAAGTGCCTTCGCTCAATTTGTTATGGTAATTTACATTGCAGAAGAAACCAATCCTTCACATGGGTGAAATCAAAATCATTTCCATGGGAGAGAAGATCAATCCCTTTTGCAGCAATTCTTAACCCCACAGCAGTTCCTTCCCTCCACTGAAAAATGGACATTCAGATCCTTGATATGTCTAGTAGTTGCTCCACCACACCTTGAACTTGACGACCATGCAGTATATAATGTTTCAGCAGCTTGCACTGTGAATCCATTATTGCTAAGATCAATAAAGTGCAACTGTTTAGCCATACCAATGGCCATTGAAAGCTCCTGAACAAATTCGCACTCTGGTAATGGAGGATTCTTGTGACATGAGCTCGTGCAGCTGTCATCCAGAGCAGATGGAATTGACTCAGCCTTATTTAGACCATCTTCACTGTCAGCAACTTCAAGGTGATTGTAATCTGCATTTGCTGCATCAAGGCCTTGTGGAGCAGCATCAACTTCTGCTGCTACACATATCTTGAGCAAAATCTGAGAACGATTGTCTACCCAGGCAGATTTGGAGTTCTGTGTTGCTGTTAAATCATACTGAATAGTTTTATCCTTCTCCAAATTAACATTTTCTGCTAGATTAAGCTCCTCTAGAGAGTTATTCTCTGCCAGTAATGAGAAAACATCAATAGGTTGAATTTAATTCCCAGAAGCAATGTTTAATCTAACTTAGGTTTGAGGAATTTAACCTGCTAGTGCCTGAACTATTTGAAGAATTCCAGCAAGCCCAAGAATGCACTTGTTAATGAGAAGAACTTTCAGACAGCATTGAGGATTCATGAGTAATGACGCTATTGCATTAGCACCCTGTTGTTATGCTTCAATTCAGGTTCCTCTCAAACAAATACATAGAAATATAAAGAAAAAAATGATAAATTACTAGAAACATCTGAGCAGAGATTATTTGAAAAGAGAAAGGACCCACTCAGAAAAGATCAATGAATGTGTAATCTGGCCCTAGGAAATCCAAGAGTGAAGCTATGGAGCAATTAAACATTATGGGACGTTTAGAATCTAGATTGTCATTGTGTGCCAGAAACACTAAATCAATTAGTTTGCACCATACTTCTTGATACAGAGATTTTAATATCGAAAGCATAAAAGCCTCTTAAACTATTGATTCCATCAAACCCTGCTATATATGTTTGAGAGAGCCATTCCTTTCTGGTGCAGCAAAGCAAGCCATGTACATCGGTAAATGTCAAGATTATCAAACCTGACTGATACAACCTAGGCAATGTTACTTTGGTTCGTATAAACGAAATCTCACTCCACTTTCTTGTATTGATGAGGGTATTGGCCTAATCTGAAAGGGAAAAATGTTAAAACTGCAAAATCTCCTGCTGCACTTATCCAACGTGTGTTTGTTTAGGCAGTTCTCTAGCAGAAGTATAATATTAGCAGAATACCAGCAGAATTGTGTTATCTTCAAGAATGAGTGAACAAACCTCTTGCCCAGTTGAATTTCCTGCAAGGTTCAGCTCAATAATTCCACCGATCAATAAGAAGTCTTCAGATAGTCTGACAAAATAATTAGATGTAAGCCCACAATATGATAGGTCAAGCTTCATCATCTCTTGAGGCCCATTGGATAATGCTTCAGTTAATTGCAATGCCCCATCCTGCCATGTCATAGCATTTAGAACAAGCAGGAAGTATACATCCAAAGAAAACTATCCTAAAAAGGTAAAAGACATCAACCATAAAGAATTTACTTACAGATCCAATACTAGTACTTCCAAGCATCAACACTGACAAACAAGAGGATTTGGCAAGTTGGCAAAGGCTATCAAGTGCGAACTTGCTAAACTTTATACCATTCAGATTCAACTCTGAAAATCTAAAAAAAAAAAAGAAAGAACACAAAAAAGAATGTTGAAATGTCCATTAATCACCACCTAGACACTCAATAACAGCCTCTAACAGGAAAAAGAACCAAACAGAATAAAAGATTAAAAGATGCACCTCTTTAAGGTAGAAAGTTTAGTCAACAAACTAGCCATAGCGTTTCCAGATATAGGATTATTATTCCCTGTCAAGAGGTAAAATTTTGGAACATCACCAGGAATATAAGAAAAACAGACCAACTAGTTTTAATGAACTTGTTGAAGTGACAATAGATTTGTGGAATACCTAAAGAAAACTGTGAAAGCACAGATCCAGCATGCAGTGCATCAGCAACTTTCTGAATTGTCCTAGATGTGATAGAACAACACTCTATGTTCAAGCTATAGAGTGCTACACAAAAGAAGCCTATTAGCAAACTGAGAATGGAAATCCCACATGGGAGCATGAGTCAAAAACTATGTTAATTGGACACTTAAAATTGGGTATTGCGTCCATGTTGGACACTTCACATTTTAGGGTAAATTCCCTATCTGATACTTTGTCCATGCCATATCTCTGTAACATTACCCAAAAGGATTTAACCCAGGTAATAATGTTATCTTCACTTCATTCCACACTATTTACCAGGCCTGAGAGAAACACTGAAATGAGCTAACAAGCCAACAGTAAAGTTTGAGCAGCAAAAAGCACTACCTTTGCAATTCTCCAATATGGTTGAAAGGTAGGATGCACAGGCATCAGTAAGACGGTTCCCAGATATATTAAGCACTTCCAATCGAGATAAAAGCACAGGACATTCACAAATCTGTCGATTACAAATACAGGACATATTAGAACCATTTCTCATAGTAATTATTTGGAATGTTTAATTTCATTATCATGTCACTACGGGAAATTTCACTCTTGAAAGAAATGCAGGTTTTTGTTTTGCTGCCAAATTAGTACCAATATTTAGAAAACATGATATCTATCCAGATTTTGCTTCTACCTGAGGATATTTGTAAGGAATCAAAGACAATAAAATAAAGCTTTGAACTATAGTTTTGCATGGGCATGGACATGGGAGCTGGAATCAAATGTGTCCAAGAGTCTGACTTGGCAAGATGAGAAAACATGGATGCATATGGAAAAGTATATGCCATAAAAATAGTTTGTATTTTTTGAATTCTAACATCATATACCTGGAAAAAGGGGTCTAAAATGTTGCCTTTTGTACTAAGTAAAATCTGATATGAAAAATGGCATTCATCTTGTACATTAGCTGTTCATTGATCTCAAATAAGCTAGGAGATAAAAGGAAACTGTACATATAAGTGTCCTCAAGAAACCATGGAGTGTCAGACACTGATGCATGTCCAACATGGACAAATTGTCCATTTAGGAGGGTCCATGCAACATTGCTTTGAAGTTTGAACATCCAAAAGTGAAAAGAGTTGTAGCAAATATATTACAGACCTGGAATAATGCAGTTGGACCAAATCTATTGCAGTGTAAGTCCAAAGTCAAGCCACCATATTTTTGACTTGATGATTTAAATATTTTATGAAGTTTCTCCATTGTTTCGTTTCCTTGAGCAAAAAAAAATAATAGATAATCAATATTGAAGAATTTTACATGAGAACTGGTACTTTAAAGGGTTATGCAAAGCAAATTGAAAAGAATGGACATTGTTTGAGAAAATGTAAGAAGTGGTTGCATCACAATTCATTACTCTAAAAATGACAATATCAAAGTAATGATGGTATTGAGACTGTTATTACCTAATAAATTATGAGAAAGGTCTAGCAGAGCAATTGTCTTGTGCTCATGCAGAGCATCCAATAGTGGTGTAACTGATATATCTTGCAATTCACATTCAGATACAATGACCTCATCCTCTGAAACCTAGAAAAAAATAAAATAAAATCGCAATTTTAGAGCTAGATGTTGAGACATCATGAATTATCAAATTGGTATTCCTGCAACAGCTAATAGATCATAGAACAAGAGCAAAGGACGTGAAACAACTAGCAAGCAGAACTTTGATGCTTACCTCCAAGTTGTATAATTTCCTAAGCAACTTCATATTTGGTGCTTCAGACAACTTTTTGCAAAAGTCAATGTATAACTTCATCAAGCGTTTCTGAACCCATCCTGCAAAACACATTGGCAAACTAGAATTGCAAAAGAGATAAATAAAGAAAGGTAAATAAGCTAAAGAGCATCCTAGTGTACTAATTAAGTGCAGGAGGATCAATTTACTCTAAAGCACCAAAACAAGGAGCTGAAGTTACTAAAAAAGAAAAAAAAATAAAGAAAAACTGTAATACAGACAAAGACTGGATGTCTTCAGACTGGATGGCAACCCAATAGAAATTTGGAGATGCATCGAAGAGATTAGCTTATTTCAGTTTATTAAGCTGTTATTACAATCTTCAAAAAAATGTCAAATGAGTGGCAGAAATGCACCACAATGCCTCTAAATATAAGCAAAATGAATAATACAAAGTTTTACCAACTGTTCTTCTGCTAAATAAAGTCGTACCAACTTTTGGTCGACCAGAGTCAATCTATAGAACTCCTAGATAGAATAGATCAGTAAGGAATAAGACATGACAGGAGACCAGGAAGTCAACTTGGCTTTCCACCAAAGAGGTAAATTATTGAGGTCATATTTACTTGGGCAGTTCGTTGAGAAATTCAGGAGAAGAGAGAATTACAGGTAGACCACTTCACTCCAAAGTTAAGCCTTTCCAACATATAATTGAGGAAGTGCCACACAATTTTTAAAAATCTTGGCTCATTCAAAAGGTAACCAAATAGGTTTTCTTGAGACACCAAAATCATGGTGTTAAGGCATGCTTTGACATTAAACATTAAGGCCACAGATAAAGTTATAGAACTGAGTTTGTCTTCACTTTTGGGTGGGATTGAAGTTCAATTAGCTGGCCCATGACTTGGACATTAGATCATTGTATTATAGATCTCAGATCAAGTTTCAGATATACATCAAGGCTACATAAGAAGTACATAATCACAACAATTATGGAAAGGACATGAGAAACTAAGATCCCTCCATCAGACAAAAAGAGGTGTCCAACATGTAATTACAATGCACGTTTCCAACACAGACAAGATAGCGGTATTCAGAATTTCAGATACTAGAATGTTGATGTTATTTTGGATAACATTAAGGACAGAACAGATAATAATTTTCATTTTATTCAAAAACATGCTATGTTATTCAAATGAAAAGTATTTGAAAGGCTCAAAATGCATAGATTATTACCATCAATAGCTACTTCAATCCAGCCTCTTCCCCTAATGTGATGCTTAATAGTTTCATAATCTTCCAAGGAATCTAGAGCTTTACCGCCATACTTCATATGCCGAATGATGGGAAACAGGCCTATTAAGGTAAGGCATTTGTTAGTGGAGAACTAATTTGCTTTGAACAGAATTGCAGTAAATGGTTGGAATATTATCCTAGAATTATAATAAAAATGTAAATATGATATTATAAATAATATCAACATTCAACCATGTACAGCAAACAAGTAACATCTTGAACCCAAGTTGATGCAAGATGGACCTGAAAATAAGGAAAAAAAAAAGAAAAACAACCTAAAAATCAGCACCTAGGCTTCTCTAAAATCTTAACACCTAGAGGAACTATCGTAAATCAGCACTTACTAACTTCTTTGAGGAATCAACCCTATCCAGAAAAGTAGAATTACTTTGACATAAGAAACAAGAGATGTGCATTAGTATCTGATGCCAACAAGAGGCCCTTTCAGGCTTACATGTGTTCATAGGCAAAATAGGGAAGGTTGGCCAATGAAGAAATATCACTGAGATACTAACTATAGACAGAGCAAATCCTAGTTGACTTAGGATTAAGATTTCAATTAAAAATTTAATGAGAGAATTTCTAATTGACTTAGGACTATGAAGACAAATCCTTGTTAACTTAGGAGTTAGGACTATGACTTTTACTTATTTCTATAACCCTTGACATGCTAACATAACTCCCAAGACAATTAGAGCAAAAACTCCAAGTGTTATTAGAAAACCAATTTCTAGTTTGACTAGGAAAACTAACTCCAGATGCAATAAGGATAAATACAGATGATTTAAATGATCAAAAAATAGCTAATGAGAGATTATAAAAGTATCCTTATTTTATGAAGCTACAAACTTTAATATTACTTGTTCTGTGGAAGCACTCCACCCTTGCAAAGATTTGGTGGCACCACAAAAAACAGAAAAAAACAAAATAGAGAAGAAGCATACAAAATACATGGATTTATGTGGTTTGTCACTTGTCTAATACAGTTTTGCAGTAACTTAAACAAGTCATTTCAGGAACTCCATAGGTACACCAAACAAAAGATTTTGACAACTAGGAAAGAAAGGCCTGAGAAAATGAGAAATCAAACTTCACTACCTTTTGCCCTTTTCTCTTCAGAGAGTTGTAAGTAATACAAGCATGCCACTTCAACCTTCATACACTCGACACTAAGCTTATCACCATCCATGCATGAGCTTGGATCAACACGTATCATGTTGTCATCAATTTTAACAATGACATGTTTCTGCAATTAATACCAAAAAGGAGAAAATAGAACAAGGTAAGCAAAATCCAATATATAATCTACAAGATATAACATAGGCCAATGTGAAATTGTGAATTAAATATCCAATGCAAGATTGTTAGCTAAAGAAGCTCAGTGAGGTTTTATAAGAGGGTTTCAAGCAGGTCCTAGCAGGGACAAAATTGTGCTGATGACACCCTATTCTTCTGTGACCCTTCAGTTGAATAGATTTCTCACCTTAAATATTTGCTAATCTGGTTTGAATTGGCATCAGAGTTGAAAATCAATCTAAGGAAGAGCAAAATGATAGCAGTAGGTGAGACCCACAACATTGAACACCTCTAATATCTTGGGTTGCAAAACTGACAAGTTACCACAACATTGAACACCTCTTCATGCAAAATGCAATTCCAAGACCATATGACAACATGTGGTAGAACAGGTCAACAAAAGACTTGCCTCATGGAAGATGAAAAAAGACCAAGGGAGGAAATTTTCTGTGGGGAGGGTGGAAGGAATTCAAGTATCACGTAGGTGACTAGAAGGTATGCACCCCAAAGGAAGCAGGTGGTCTAGGGGTGAGGTGCCTCAGGAAGTTCAATACAGCACTACTAAGAAGGTGGTTTTGATGCTTCAATGAAAAGCTGAATGCCCTACAGAAATAAGTGACTGTGGCAAAGTAAGGAACAAGGAATTTGGGTTGGAACCCAGGTGGAGTATCAATTTCTTATGGGTGTTCGTTTTGGAAAGGGACAGAGAAGGTAAACAGTGAATTTTCTAAGCGTATCAGCTTTAGAATTGGCAAAGGGACACAGGTTCAATTTTGTAAGGAAAGATGATGTGATGCTCAACCACTTATGGAGACATTTCCCTCACTTTATATGGCTGCAGATGATAGACACTGGTTAGAGATAGCTACATCAATGGGATGGCAATGTGGAATCCTATTATGAGGAGTCTAAACAATTGGGAGATGGGAAAACAATTAGGAGTTTCCTGGGCATGACACATTATCATGAATGTGGGTAAAACCATATTTACAATCAACATTTTTTGGTCAAAAAGACAAAAAAAAAAAAAAATTGAGTTAGATAATGTGTCATATGAAGGAATCTGGAAAACAGCACAGGCTGTTTTCTCCAAACAGCCAAAGTTTTTCTCTGGGGGATTGATTCTATGGCAAGGTTGTTATACAAGGTAAATCACCACAACTTGGTCAAGAAGATAAAGGAGTGTGGAGATGGGACAGATCAAGCAACTTTACCATTAAAACCTTTTTTGAGATGTTGAACACCTAGACGGCAAGGAATTCCCTACTCCAGGGTTTGGACTTTGGAGAACTCCTGTGACCTGTCCCCTCCAAAGTGGCTTTCTTGGGGTGGACAGCCCAACAGTGTCACCGGAGAAGTGTCTCATGATGGACAGCTTAGTGAGGAGGGGAATGGTGCTGGATAACACATTGCATATTCTCCCAGCTAAACGAATCCCCAAATCACATCTTGCACTGTGAGTACTCTAGAGTGATGTTTCTTTTGAAGGATAATAAGAAAATTCATTAAACTTGAAAAAAGCAGTACATCTAAAAATGCTGGTTGTCTAGTTGACAAACCAACAATATAACAGAATACACTGTGAAAGAAATAAAATTACAAGGATTCATTTCCAAAGTGCTCCAAAGACCCCTGAATTTCATAAAATTACAGCTCCCCTTGACAGCCCCTAAGCTTTAAGCTCCACCCAGTCACCTCCCTCTTCACCCCATACTTATTTTCAATCAAACATCAAAAGTTTTCCAATTTTGTTTCTTAGAATAGAGCCACCTCTGTTAAGATGCTTTGAAGCATGTTCCTCACTATCTCCCTCTTCCATCCCTCATACCCCTACTGTTCCAACTGAGAATCCTCAACTTCCTCCCCTTCTCCCTGTCTTCCTTCTCCCCCCAATTCACTCAATCTCGTCCAACCCCTCCTCTTCTCCTCCTTCCTCATCCCACCCCTTTATTTTTTTCTAGATATTCTTCCCTCTTCTTTTTTTGAGCAAAGGTAACTTTTATTGATACTCCTCCCTCTTCCTTCTCTTTTCTTTCTTTCGAACTTCTCAAATGCTATTTTCGCAAAGCCTTCCCCTCCCCAAAAAACTAGCCCAAGAGACTTACCCACGTCCACCTCCCTCTCCACTAGTTTATTAACATTCACCTTCTCGTTTTGTACTATTTCCTTGACTTCTTGATCTTTTTGTGTCTTTTCTGCTCTTTCTCTCTCTCTAACCTTATCCCCAGCCTCCAGACCTTTACTGTCTTCCCCTTGTTTCTCTTCTTCTGGACTCTAAGAGATGCCAATGAGTCTTCTTTTTCTATTGTATACCATGTTTCCTGATTTGCCCCCTCCCTTCTTCTCTTGAAGTTTTCTTTTTTCTGTTGTTTTTTCTCCTACCTCTTCTTCTGTTCTTTTCTCCTCTTCCCCTTCCCCCTGTTTGGAGGTTCCAACTCTAATGAACTTAGCAATCTAGACTGACTTACCTCCTCACTTCTATGCGAAGACAATAGGGTACTTGGATCGGGGTGCACATACACTCTTCCCTTAGACCCTTCCTTCTAAAGCCTCAATTGTAAACTCTGTAGTGCTTGAATCCTAGTTGACCAAAGACCTCTTCTCTTCCTGAACCTTCAACCTCCCCGGTCTCCCCAACTCATCTTCGCTGGCTTCTTTAAGGTTTTCTTCCTTGCTGCAATCTGATTCTGAGTGAGAATCGGAAACCCCTCCTTTCAGCTTACTGGATTTTCTTTTTTGACTCTCTCTAAGTCCACGATCTTCCCTACTATGGCAGTTCTCTGCAACTCTGTCACCGAACAGCTTCCTATGACCACAAATGATCTTTTTCTTACCACTTTTGTCAAACCTCGCTATTAGCTAGATCCACCTCTTTTCCTCTCCTTTTCTATCCTCTACTACGATCTTCTTTGTTGCTTCATTCCTCTTCAGAATTGTCTTTAAAGGACCTAGGCATCTCCTCTTGCCTTCCTATCCCTGAAACAATTTCCCCCCCGCCCAACTGCAAGGCAGTTTTGGAAACTCGATCACCTCTCCACCTGTCTAAGAAAAGAGTCTTTCAGATGAGATCCCTGATCTGCATCCGACCAAGAGCTCTTAGCTCTCAGAATCGGTAATAAGCTCTCGAACATCCTTTTTAGAAGAAATGTATACTTAGTGCATATTTTGCACATGCCCATTGTATAGCCTCTTTGTGTGCAAGGGACTTTTCCCTTTTAGGGACCAATACAATACATTACAGTTTCAAAATAAATAAAAAAGTAGTCTCAGAAACTTATCTGTTGGCATATTGAAACTAGTAACACTTACATTATATTCATCACAAGCAATAAGCAGATTGAAATTTGCACCATTTTGCTTCTGTAGGTCACTGAAGATACAATCGCCCTCAACTTTAGATCCACTTCCACCAAAATTTGAAGTATCAGCAAGTTCCCGAGTGCTTGAAGATCTGAAACCTGTGCCATTTTTAGCAGCTACTTTAGGGCTTCCTGATTTGTACGAGCAAGCACTTTCTTCAACATTAATGAGTGTGCAGGCACTGAATGGGTCTTTGAAAGCAATACAAGGTGTAACATTCTGCCAAATGGAGATATCAATAAGAACCGACCACTTCAAAAAGGAACGAAACAGCCCATCTGAGAGCTTGAATTGACAGTTTATGTGACATATGTTACCTGAAACTCCCTGGAAAGGCCAGCTGGTCCATCATTGTTCTTAACTTTTCATAGTTGAGAAAGACAAAAAAATATATATATATCAGTTTTGTTAAAGGTAAATGTCAAACACCGCATACAGTGAATTATTCTATAACAGGAATATAAAGCTTAAATAACTTAAAATTAAGACTTACTGTCATCAGAAGTAGCAACATCCTCTACAGGACAATTACGGTTTCTTCCTCTTGGGGACTCTATCTCATTGTGCTCATCTCTTTCATCATCAGAGAGGACCACCCGGACACGCTTACGCCCAACAACTGGTTGATGACTGCTAATTGATTTACTCAAACTTTTTGGGGAAGACTCAGTTGGCACAGTCGAAAAGCTGGGTTTATTTAGTTGATTGCCTTTTGGCTTGGAGAAATTCTTTCTGGACTGAAGAAGTGATATCAGTGGTAAATCCTCATCTATCTCTTCTATCCTCACAGAAACAGATTTAGTTATCATGGGTGAACTGCATGCATTGGATCTAGTATCTGTCAGATCATCATTCCCTTTTGTTTCAGTTTCAGAGCAGCAGTCCCCATCTAGCATACATGCTTCATTGTCTTTCTTGGTTGAGCACTTCAACTTGTCAATAACAAGTTGCAACCTCCTACAAATAAGCATAATTCATTCAGAAACAGACCATCCAATAGAAAAGATCCAGTCAACTACGCTTGAATGAAATAAAAGTTACTTGGCTTCTTCAACATTGTCAAAACGTATCATGTGACTGTAATGCATATTCTCAAGTGCAGAAATCTGTGCAGAAGGTAGGTTTGCTTTAACTGCAATGCTGTTGACAAATGAAGAGAGAATGAAAGTTAAGCATGATTGACCATTAAACTCAGTAAAAGTTAATGAATCTTGTAATTTCGGGCCACAAACAATGTCAATTCACAAGTAAATTGAATGATCCAAGAGAAAGAAATTTATTGCCTGTAACCCTCTTCAAATGCTTCTAATGCACCAGCCCAATCACCATCAGAATCTAAGACATCTCCAATATTAATTTTGGCCAATGCTTGCCCCTGGAATTACCAGTATTTCAGAAATAAGCACATATAAATTAAGTCTTCTTAATGGACACCATGACCATGTATTAGTGATATTAGATGACTAAAGAATACCAAGCCAATTTTCTAATGGCATCTTTGAGTTTCATGTAAATCATCAAGCTAGATAAGCTTTTTCAGTTGCCACTTGCCAAGGCCCAAGATCATCTATGGATACTTGATTTTATCCAAAAAAGAGGGAAATTTTAGAATTTAAATGGCACTTACCTCCAAGTTTCCAATTGAACGATATGTGTCCCAGCTCTTCTTGTACCATTTAAGAGCTTTACTGAAGTTCCTGAGCTTCTGGTATGATTCTCCAATCACCAGAAAGGAATCACTAAGCTTCTCCTTGTCACAGAGTTCAGTTGCTACTCTTTTCTTCCTTTTTGCAAATTCGCGATGCTAAAACACAAGATACCATAATAAGAAACAGTGCTATGTCAATCCTCAAAAGAACAAAACAAATTGAAAAAGCAGTCGCTAACTACCCTAAACTATAAATTTCAAAGGCTCTCAAACTACAGTAACTACCAGAGAACTGAAATTATGTTTCAATATAAAAGGAAGAGTTGTATGTGATGTTGGGCATGTTAGATTGCAACTTAACTATATGCATTATAATTTAGCTCGTTTAGAAAGTAACCAAATTTTAAGAATAGTATACCATTAGAGAACAAACATGTTTAGAAAGCCTTCTTATGTCATGAAGGAGCATTCCTGAAGGGAGTTGAGGAAGTCCAGAAAGGTTGACAAATTTGGTATAGAAAGCAAAGCATACAAACTTACTTTCAGCCATGCAAAGATCATGCTGGACTTTTCAATGAGACGATCAAGGGATGCATTCTGATCTAGTAAGCACTTTCTTTCACCTGGAGTGCCTCTAGCCATGGCCATAGCTCTTGTCAGCTTCTTAAGATTCTGCTCTTCTTTTCTTAACTCGTCCATTACTTTTATTGCTTCTTTTACAGTTTCAATATTCTGACCAATCTGATCAACTAAAGCATCTTCATCTTCCATGGATTTTGCAATTTTAAGAGCCTTCTGGTAGCAGTTAATCGCTTCTTCATACTTTTGAACCCTATAATGCAATTCACCAAGATTGATATAGCCTTTGGCCTCTCCTTGGTAGTGCTCAATTTTCTCACAGATCTGTATGTCCTTCTCTATATGAACTTTAGCTGTATCCCACATCCTTAGCTCCATGTAAATGCTCCCGAGGTTGTGGTGAAGCCTGCTGCGTGCATCATCATATTCATTCACCTCTTCTTCATCACATATCTCCAATCCATCCAGAAGAATTCTCTGGGCTTCTTCCAAGTTATCGAGATCCATTTCAAGCATGCCAATGTTATTATGGGCATCAATAAATTCCTTGAGGAAGAATGAGGTTTTGTTAGGTGGTCGGTTTTCCTTGAGAGTCCGAGCAAGTTTCATAGCTGATTGGAAATACTTCTTGGCATTCCGCACAGATAAGTGGTCACCATCAGATCTTAAAAACAATTCATGATACGTCCGGCCAAGTTGGGTGCTGGCCCTTTGCTGTTCAATGAGGTCACTTGTGTCCTTGGCAAGCTCCAAATGCTTTTTCTGTTATATTACATGCAGTGAAGTTAAACCTTAAGGTTGATCTAAAAACACGTAGGTAAAACATGACCTGACATAATAGAGTTCCAGTGAATCCAAAAGTAAGAAGGAAATGGAACATTTTAAAGAAGGGCAAGAGATTACCGATAACAGAGAGCTTCCTTGAAGACAATTTTTAAAGGAAATGGAAGAAAGAAGAAAAAATTGAAAGAGGACAAATTGGTTTGTTATAGATTAGGAAATCAATAAAAAAATGAAAAACTGCAAAGTAGATAAAATTTTCAAAGGGTACATGCGACATTAGTTAAAGGCAGAGTGGAATTAGACAGAAATAAAATGAAATTCAAAGAAGAATCATATCAGTACCTAATAGGAAGGGCTTTCTTTGGTCCAAAATTAAAACCAAGATAAAGAAAAAACAGACACTTGTAAGCGAAATTCAAAACCACTAGATAGATTAGGGCTTCAATGAATCCAATACTAAAACAAGTTAAAAGCTATAAATTGAGAGAAACTTTCAAAAGGGCACCTGGTTTATAAAATTTCTATGTGAAAATAACCAAAAGAAATTAATTTTTAAAGAGAGAGAAAAAAAAAAGCACCTGATAAATTAGAGCATCTTTGAAATATTCCAGACGGAGATAAACCTCGCCGAGGGACTGACAGGTGGGAAGGAGTTGCTTCTCAGGGAGATACTTCGAAGAGACCTCGTAATCGATACGTAGCCACTTGAGAGCTTTAACGTATTCTCCTCTGTTCTTCAAGATGTCTCCGATAACGTTCGCCCACCGAGCTTCCTCCTGTCGATTGCCCTCCGCTACAGCATGTTTGTAAGCTCTCTTCGCCGCACTGAGCTGAACATCGTCTCTCGCCATCTGTGCCGCCTACTACAATTTCAACACTTGAAGACTTGTTCTGGCATTAGTAGATCTGGTTGCTGAAGCCTCAAATTTGCCGTCTCGACTCTCAAGCCCTGAACAGCAGTGGAGAGGTTTTGTTTTGTTTCGTGGAAAAAAAAAAAACCAAGCATGAAGCCCCCGCCATAATGGTACCCGCGGCTGCGAGGGAAATTTCATAACTAAAATTCTAAATCGTCCCTCATGTTTGTTAAAATTACGCCTAGATCAGTCTTTTTGAAATTTAAACTTTGAGGCGTAATGTACTATGCTACTGGGCACCAGTCCACCGGGCCACCGGCAAAAGGTCATGTACACTCATTCATGTTTTATGGTTGAAACGTAGAAACGTAGAGGTGTAAATGGGGGGTCATGTTGGGTTTGAGGTTTTAGGCAAGGTTTAAATATTATTATGTATCGGCTTAGCTGGTATGTATCATATCGTGGCCTTCCTGATATGCTCCTACACTACATATTTCAGGTCAGATCATGGTTCAAAGGGTAGTTGGATCTTAAACCGATTCCTTTGAACTAGATATGAAAAAATAAAAAAAAAACCACACACACACAAAAAAAGTGTCGATAAAGGCCAACAGGCTGAAACAGCACGGCACAACATGGAGACCCCCCCCAATGGCTAGTTTCAAGTTTGGGGGTTATAGAAATATCCCCTGAATAGCTATAAATAGCTATATGGGGGTATTTATGTATTTTGGCTTTAGAGAGATAAAATGACAATAATGTCCCCTCAATAACTATATAACAACCAGTTTATGGGGTATTTAATTAAAGTGATAAATGACTTTATAATAAACAAAATACCCATCCCAATAACTAACAAATTGTTAATTTTTAGGGTATTTTGGGGAATTAAATTACTTTCAATTCCTATAAATAGTCTTATCCAATTATCCTCCACAATTCTCATCACGCCAATTCTCATACTTTCATAGTCTCATACATCATACTCTCATAGTCGCATACTTTCTCTACTCTCTAATTCTGAACTTGATTCAAGTTTTAACAGAAAAGAAGGCTTGCTCATATATCTCAAGTTAGCAATTTAGGAAACTTTGAGGCTTCAAGTTGATATTCTGAATCGACAATTCGGGTAAGTGTAATTAAATTATTTTTTTTTTATAATTGAAAAAATGGTTAGCTCTTCCTCTCGCTCTCGACACCAATTCTCCAACGTGGTCAATGTTGATGATATTGATGTTCAGTTGCAATATTATAGTGTTAGCATTGATATGGATGTCGTTGATATTGTTGACGTTCCCAGCCCTAGTACTACTACTAAAGGCAGGGAAAAAAAAAGGAGAACACTATGTTGATTAGCTCAGTTTGGACATTACTTAAAATAGAGGATATTAAAGGAAAGGGAAAGAGAGTCGTTTGTTAAAAATGTAGGAGTGACATTTGAAACACCACGTGATGAAAGAAGAAGGGAAAGAAACATCATAAGCACAAATAAGAAGTGGGATTTTTTATACTTTTAAATATTCCCAAAAAAGAATGAGGCAAGAATTAGCAAAATATATTGTGAATGTTGAACATCCATTTTTATTAGTTAAAGATACTAAACTTGAAAAATTTTTATGTAGATTTATAAACCCACATTTAAAAAAAAAAGTTTCTAAAAATACTATTAGAACAAATGCTTTAAAAAATTTCTATTCATATAAACAATATTTAATTTCTATGTTATCTAAATTTAATTTTAAAATTGCAATTACTTTTGATGTTTGGACATCTAAATTTAATATAAGTTATATTTGTATTACCAGTCATTTTATTGATAAAAAAATGATTTTTACATAAAATAATTTTAAGTTTTACTAAGCTTGAATGGCCACATACTGGCCCAATTATTGCTACAAGTATTTTAAATACTTTACATATTTATGAAATTGAAAATAAACATTTTTTGTATTAGTTTTGATAATGCTAGTAATAATGATTCAACAATAAATATTTTAAAATCTCAATTAAAACCATGTTTCAATGGTAAATTATTTCATATTAGATATGCATGTTACATCCTAAGTTTATGTATTCAATATCTTTTAAATATTATTTCTCATCATATTTTTAAAATTATAAATTGTATAAATATATTAAAAGTTATAGAGCAAGAAAGTAGTAGATATGGTTGCTAAAGCCTCAAATTTGCCATCTCGACTCTCAAGCCCATAACAGAACTGGAGAGGTTTTATTTTGCTTCGTGCGAAAAAAAAAAATCAAGCATGAAGCTCCCGCCATAATGGTTTTAGGTACCTGTGGCTGCGAGGGAAAATTCATAACTAAAATTCTAAATCGTCCCTCATGTTTGTTAAAATTACGCCTAGATCAATCTTTTTGAAATTTGAACTTTGAGGCATAGTGTACTATGCTACTGGGCACCATGCCACCGACAAAAGGTCATGTACTAAGTCTTGTGGCTAAAACGTAGAAATGTAGAGGTGTAAATTGGGACGTGCCATCCGCGGTCAGGCATGATGGTTCACGGGCCGTGCTATGGCACGACACAATGGGTCATGTTGGGTTTGGGGTTTTAGGCAAGGTTTAAAATATTACTAGCCGAGACCCATGTGGTGCGCGGGATTTATTAAGCGAAAGTTGAATAATAGAAAGGGTCATTAGCTAAAATACTCTTTATAGTTTCATGGATTTACTAAAATCTATCCTATAGTTACAATTTTATTAAAACACCACTTATAATTTGCAATGGATTTAATCAATCTTCCATTAGATAATAGTGGAAAATGACAGTGTTGATCATAATGTTCATTTAAATAAATTTAATCAAAATAAAATAAAAATAAAAATATCATTTTGCCTTTTATAAGACACGGGCAACCACTCTATTGGCTATATTTGGTTAATTTTGTTTTCTGTACAAAAAAAAAGTGTTAAGGGTATTTTTGGAATAAAAATTATGGGCCTAATGGCAAAACAAACACTCTTTAATGAAAGGTTGATTAAGTAAATAAGTTGTAAAATATATGGGATGTTTTAATAAAATGAAAACTATAAGGTAGTCTAAAATGGAAATTTCACTTTGGCCATTTGTAAGCCAACCAAAATCGAACGACCTAACCATGGATATATATTGATATTTTATATTTTAAATATAATTTTTAATATGAAAAAGTGGGAAATTTCCCATTTTTCTTAGTCTAATAAAATGTTTTATATCATAAATCTAACTTTTAAATTTATTTTTTAATAATTGCACTATAATTTTTAAAATTTAATTTAATTTTTAAGTTAATCTTTTGAATTGACTGACCAAACCAAAAAATTGACCCAAACCGATACAACTTGAGTGGGTCGGTTTTCACAAAAGGTCAGTCAGTTTCAGATTTTTAACTGCCCAACTCCCCAACCTGACCAGGTCAATTTGGTTGGCCAAATAGCCTATAACCGAACCGAACCAACTCATAAAAACTCAATTTCAGCTAAATTAATAGTCTCATCTTTGATAAATAACAATAGTTTAATCTCCAATAATTATTGAAAATTGATAGCAAAAATAAATAATTATTGAAAATTTGATAATGAAAAAGATACAATAATTGCAAAAATACAATAAGTAATAAAAATATATTACTTAGTCAATAAATAGTATAATCTCAAATAATAGTTTAATCTCTAATAAATATTAATCAATAATTTATAACAAAAATACAATAAATTAAATTTAAAAATTTCACTATAGTAGTTTAATCTCCAATAATTATTGTAAGTTTTATATTAAATAAAAAAACAAAATAAATTTATACATAATCATTGAAAATACATTTATCACAAAAACAATAAATAATTAATAAAATACAATAAATATTAATTTTGTATATATAATTACATAATAAATAAAGATTAAGATTTTAAAATTATTATTAATAAATATTATTTTTTTGAAAGTTATTTTCTCGAATTATTACTTGATATAAGTGAAATTAGTTATTTACGATATTATGTAAAAAATATTAAATTATTATTAATATCAATATTATGTTATAATTATTTTTCTACTTTTCTGAAATTTTTTAAATTTATTATATAATTTCTTTATTTTAACTATTTAAAATCTAGTTATGTTAAATATTTTGTTATTTAAAATACCTAGTTATTTAAATACTTAAATAATATGTAAACTTTTATTTATTTATGGAATTTAATTATCCATAAAATCATAATTTATACTATTATTACATAATTTCATTATTAATTTTGTAATATATTAAATTATTATTAATTTAAATATTATGTTATAATTATTTTTCTGCTTTAAAGAATTTTTTTTAAATTTATTATATAATTTTGTTATTTTAACTATTTAAAATCTAGTTATTTAAATATTTAAATAATCTATAAAATATTTAATTTTTTTGTATTTTGAATTTTATTTATTTAAAGCTATTAAATGTTACTAAATGTTTGAAAAACATTTAAAGTGATGATCAAGAAAAATATAATTTAAATTGTTAGTACATAATTTTCTGATATATTTTGTAAAAATATAAAATTATTTATTAGATAATTTCGTTATTTTAACTATTTAAAATATAGTTAAGATACACATTTAGTTATTTAAATAATCTATAAAATATTTAAATTTTTTGTTATTTGAATTTTATTTATTTAACGTTCTGACATACTATTATTTGAAAAGCATTTAAATTGATAATCCGGGAAAACATAATTTTAATTGTTAGTACATAATTTCGTGATATATTTTGTAAAATATAAAATTATTTTATGTGTTTTTAATAAATATTCTAAAGTTATTATATAATTTTGTTAGAATATTTAAATAATTCTTAAATTTTTTAATCAAAACTTTCTTTAGATAGATATAGATAAAAAGTAGGGGAGAGGATAAATAGGAATTAAAGATAACTTAGGAGATAAACTCTCTACTAAATTAGTGATAATTGTGGAGATAAATAAGAATTAGAGATAATTTAGAAGATAGGTAGGAAATAGAGATAATTATGGGTAAAGTGGGGGAGGTAGTTTAGGATAAATTTTAGGAGAAGAGATTATTTAGGTTATTGGGAAAGTGCATCTCATTGGTTGTTTCAAAAATGACATGGAATAAAAAAAAACATAAAAAGGAGAATTTTTCTTGACCGCTATATTTTAATATATATAT